TCAGTTTTCAACAACTACGCATTTTCCAGTTCCGAACGCTGCACAACTGAATCATCCCTTTAAGTGGCTTTCCAAGCCAATGCATATTGGCGGAAGGATTATGCAAACAGAAGACCTAGAAATTAAATTATTATATCGATGCGGACATATTATCCTTCCCGAGATTGGGATGTAGAAAATAAGCGCTTATGTAGCCGTTGCACTGTCTCAGTTCGGTATCACTTGAAAATTAAATTAAACGGTGAACATTAATTTTAATTGTATGCTTTGATTTTACCCCCAAGTTGGATCGACGCATATCAAGCTTGACTGGCTGTATACAGTTCGGTGTTTTGATCGAACGTTGTGGTTCTCGTTTTAATGGTTTTAGTGCCTAAATTAGTTATTTCAAGTAAAAAGATATCCTCTACATCTTCTCTTATGAGTGCTAGACAACATTCTTCCAGTGTTGGAACAACCTGGAAATGATCACAGTCTGTTTCCTTGTAGGTGACCAATTTGGCTGGGATCGAATGGGTTCGACGTCATTTAGAGCCGCGTGGAATTCGTGTTCACCGCCTGACATTTGAAGATCCAAGGCCGATGCATATTGATGCCACATTCAGTTTGGTCAAGCCCGGTGTGGCACTACAAAATCCGGACAGGCAGTGTCATGAGATCGATCTATTCAAAGCTGCCGGATGGGATGTAGTCGACGTCCCGCGACCGTTGATCAGTAAAAGTGAGTAAAGCAAATCTGTTCTTTTTTGCTTGGTGATAAACAAATGTATGCAACAGGTAGGAAAAATGTTAAACCAAATTAGTTGTGACATTCATGAGGGTTATTGAGTTGAGGCTAAGTTAATGGGATTGATCCAGAGCAAAACTGCCCTAGCTCCCATTGAGTGCTCATTTGGTGGAAATTACTGACAGCAACTTCATGAACAATAACAAATATTCTCCTATTGGCTCTTGTTCGTTTTTACAAATTTGTCCACAATATTAGAGTGTATTTCACATGTATATTAAAGAGATCTGGTGTCCTGTAAGCAAGCAATCACCTAAATAAGAGGCATTAAAATCCACAAATGGCATTTTATCCAATCCCGTAGGCAAAACCATTGTATGACAATAAAAAATCTGCAAAATTGGTTTTATTTTCTATATTGGTATCATCAGTAAACCTCAAACACGTTCCATGACTTGAAAACAAAGAGTGTGACTGGGACAATAAAAAATCGTGTTTATTTCGTGCGAAGTTCCCATTAGACTGACTGAAGCACCAGAAGGGACAAAGAAAGAGAGAGAGAGAGCTAGTGTGCATCGCTGATCCTTCTTAACACAAACAAAACGAGTGGCCACATGGCCACCAGGCAAATGTTCTAGAGAAACGCATCTAGAATGGGCAGTTTAAAGAAACTACAATGGTATGAGATTTATACAAGAGTTATCACGCTCTGTCATTTCAATCAGAACAATCCGAGCATCCTCAAATCATGTTGTTTCGTTCAACCTCCTTCTCCTTAAGTGAGCACTGACCACAATGACTCGATTTATAATATGAAACTAAGCGATTAAAGGCACCTTCCTCCTTAATTAGGATTGTGAGTTTGCTGGTTGCAGCCGCCGCTGTACATCATAAAACCAGATATTCATCTGAATGGACCCTTGTAATTTTTGAATAGAGCTGCTACTTTATTTCATGCAGTATGTAAATGTTCAGACCTAATCTTTTCATTGATGTTTCTGCTACTACTTCGAATCTTGTCCAACATGTGACAACAGCTTTAAATGTTTTCCATTTAGGAACGATAATTGTTTGTTCGTACTTTTCTGACAGATCTAGTCAAACTCCTTTCCGAGTCCTTGTAGGTCGGTTGCGCATCTTTCCACATCGCAGACATTCGCGAAACCTTTGAGCTGGATGTCACTCAGGAGGGCCACATGTTTTTGATTATCCCCTTGTGTAACGTCTATACTACACATGACAATAATCCTGCTAAGGGTGGCTAAAGAAAACGGTTATACTCAAATGAGGCCATAAGCTCTTACAGCTACAGCAGCAGCGAGCCAGTTACATGATTAATCACACCAATTCTGACACCGTACTTCATGATCGATCATTTGTGATGTTATTCGCATAGAAGTAACAGGGCCCACTGAGTTCATTTTCACGCGAACAAAACGTTTATTTCGGTTGTCTAATCAAATGAATATTCAACTGAACTCTGTGTGGTTGGATGGAATGTCAAACCAATCGACATTAGCTGCGCAATTATGAAAATGAGAATGACAATGTCAACGGGAAGTTTTGTGTGCCATTTTCTGGAATACGCAAGAATGACGAAAGCTTTTGGCATCAAGGTTTGCCGTATAGCATAGACCATTTGGAAATTCCTACAACAGTTGAGGAAATTGAATTCATGACCTCGGCTTGTCGAGATATGGAGCGTGTACTCAATTCTCTTTTTTAGCACCAACTAAAGCTGGCTGATTAGGGTAGACTATTGTTTCGGAAAGTGCGCATTCAATTTTTCCCAAACACATTGCTCTATTCGTCGTTCTGTTTTCTTAAAATAGTGGGTTTCACTTCTTTGGAAAGCGTTCATTTACGGATCGTGAAATAGAACGCATGAATGGTGTAATTATTGAGTTATTGGCTTACGGAGAGCACCGAAAAGCTAATTGGTCCCCATCTAGAATTGTCAGTGTGACATATGTAGTACAACGTGTTCATATCAATCCCAGTAGGCTTTTACAGGTGACCATTATTTTTTTGACACGGATATTCCATTACATAATTCCAATTACTTCACTTTTTTCTCAAAAATCTCCAAAGTAGTTTTTGAGGAGAATCATTCACGCATTTAAATGTTTATTGCCAAATCTCGAAATGTATATAGATATAGATTTCGTTCATTTTATTTGGCCAAGGCAACCGGGAAACCAATCCTGAAATATGTATATTTAGATGTATCTGAAATTCATATCAAACAAATGGTGGTACAATAATATATATAAGGAATTACAAAATCATTGAAGTGAGAGCAATATTCCCAGGTTACACAAGCCAGAACAAGCGATTTTTTTTCTGGTTTATGAATCGGAGCCTTCGACCAGCCAAAGGCCGACCAAGTGGTGGATAGTCTCCAGTTCATAGCCCCATGCGCCCTTTGAGCGGAGCCAAATGTTAAAGCCACTCTTTATACTCCGACATCAAACTGAATCGTTGACCACTGCAAAACCAGGAAGCTGTGTGGGCTTCGTATACCTCATCTTGGTTGATTTGGAATCACAATTTATAACCAATGCCCAAAATGCCAGTGGTTTAACGACCCACTTATAACTCTTGATAAATTTTCTTCTTGCTTGTCACCCCGTTTTGCTAAATCGAAAATAGGATAGTTCAATCAGCCGGCAGAAACTGTGATAACAGAATAGATGATAACATTTCAAAAACTCTGTCATCTTCTCGTGGCCAAAATCCAAATTAGTTTTGTTTTCAGCGGAGCTGGAAAAAGATTTAAGCGAAAAAGGCATTCGTTTCTAGCCGCTCGATTCACAAAGGTGATGCGTAGGCGTTCGTTTTCTGACTCAATGAAATCCACTAGACGTGGTTTTGGCCTGCCACTTGATGAGTAGTTCCACAAATGACAGTTCTCGTTAGTAGGGAGAAACACAAGCGCGATTGACGACACCGTGATGTTGCAGAATTCAAGTGCTTCCACTATCTTCATTGTTTCTTCAGTCATATATATATATATATATCAGGCACTACCAAAATGAAAAAGGGGCTTGATCAGTTGCCCAGTGATCAAGCAGTTAGTCTGCTTACCTTGAATCTTTGTCGTCCCAGGTTAGATTCTCGGTTGGGTCTATGGATTGAGTGCTTCTTAGCTATTCAGTTCTCGATTGCTTTGACCTATAGTCAACAAACTCCACCACAAAATGAACTCAAACCATTTACTATTCCCATTAATATAGGTCTGTAGCTAGTAGGCTGATCATAGTAGTTTACAGAAATTTATAGCCTTGGGCAAGTTTATAAATACCTCTACATCTTCACCACATATAATCCCCCCCCCCAATTCAGGTAATTTTGAACACATCGTTTCCTATTATCAGCCGAGAAATCCGTTGTTCGATATTTGAAGTTGCTTTACAAAAGATGCCCAACAGAAAAATGGTCCTGCTTAAAAATGGAAAAAGAAGCATATTGTAAAATGTGGCATTACAGTGTTTTAATTCGTCATGTGAGCTCTCTATATGTAGCTTGCATTTAGTTCGTATGCATTCGGTCTTCAAGTTGATTAGGGAACAAACAAAATGTGAAATTAGTGGGTAGAAGCCAATAAGCAGGCAATATGTATGGGACGAGAGCTGCTCAGACGGACGCCGGGGTCAAAAGTCATTACTGCTAAAGCAGTTTGTATTGTGTGCCTGATGGGTACATGTTAGTGTCAGTCACTTGGGTCAATAACGTCTAAATCAAAAAATACTCAAGTAGATCACAGCCAGTTTCTTACAGATTATCTTGTACCTTTTGGATATGCGATACAACTATTGGAAGTATAATAAATTTTACTATAAAATTAACATTCCTATGGAACTCTGTTGTTTTAGCTATCTGCTTCCGGTATTTTGTCTTAATAATTTAATGCACCCCGCTCTTCGACTGTTCCCAACAGCTTACTTCAAATCAAATACTTACTGTGATACGCTCATTCGAGATCACATTGAATTGTTTTGGAAACTTTAAAATTTATTACAGAGTATTTTCGCATTCCAAATTGTTCATATTGTTAAAGCTCTTATTAGATCCGTGAAACGTTTTTTAAAGCACTCTTTCATTAGTTTGGATAAGACATTAGTTTAGAACATTTCTGAAGCCATTATTCAAGTCCTCTCTGATGTCTCTCTTTTGGAAATCTTTCATTTCATAAAAAAATTGTTCAAGGCCATCCGCTGTGGCTCGGATCTAACTGGCTCTCCATGAATGTGCTCATGCTTGATCCAACACGAGTGATGGTTGAAGAAGAGGAGGTAGGTATTCAAGAAATGTACAGAAAAATCGGAGTGACACCGGTTCCCGTGAAAATTCGCCACGCCAACTCTATCGGAGGTGGATTCCATTGTTGGACCTGTGATGTTCGACGTCGAGGTGGATTGCAGAGCTACTTTGACTGGTCTCGCTGTGGATTCCCCAAAGCCTGATACCATCACCTACCCCAAGTACATGCTTACACAAACCCAAACACACGCTCGCGAACACACATAAAGACACACTGGTCTTTTTCTGGTTAAGCTTAGTTTTATTTCGACTGAAGGTATCCGGAGAGGATGAGCCACGAGGTAGGCTTTGTGATCTGAATTTTCTTTGCAACTATACTACATTCTAAATNCTTCAATATATGGAGATCCAAAAGAAAGAACAGGTGAAATGCAACAGGGTAATCCAACTTTCGCCATTAATATTAGTAGTAGTAGTAGTAGTAGTAGTAGTAGTAGTAGTAGTAGTAATAGTGATCGTTTCGATACATTTGCACATATGCA